GGTGAAGGTCTTAAGCCAAGCAAGAATGGCGACCGTGGCAGCAACTGAGAACCAGTGGCTCAAAGGGAGAGTGAAGGCTGTTACCTCTGGAGACTGCTTGGTGATCACGGCTTTGACCCACAACAGGCCTGGCCCACCACCGGAAAAGACCATCACTCTTTCTTCTCTTATGGCTCCTAAAATGGTCAGCCTAATCAAAAACTCATTCCTTCTCCAATTTTACTAACAAAATTTAGATTTCAGAAAAAATGAATATTTGAAACAAAACAAAAAACATTACAAATCAATCAGGTTACATGGTTCTCATTGTTTGGTTTGGTCTTGTTTCAGGCTCGCAGGGGAGGTATAGATGAGCCTTTTGCATGGGAAAGCAGAGAATTTCTGAGGAAGCTTTGCATTGGGAAGGTGCTAATTGATACTCTAATACTCCAGTTATGATATATGTTAGTCATTGACAATATTTCGTTATGTTAAAGTATTGTTTGTTTTTTCTTGAGCAGGAGGTTGCTTTCAAAGTGGATTACAAAGTGGAAGCTATTGCTGGAAGAGAATTTGGCTCGGTTTACCTTGGCAACGAAAATCTTGCTAAGCTTGTTGTTCAAAATGGGTGGGCTAAGGTGATGACCGTTTTATTTCACTAGATAGCCTTGTCTTAAGGTATGATACTTTTATCAGCTTTCTGATACGGTAGAGGAATGCTTGCACTGTGGACAGGTCAGAGAGCCAGGTCAGCAGAATCAGGATAAGGTTAGTCCTTACATTTCGGAGCTGTTACAGCTTGAAGAGCAGGCTAAGCAGGAAGGGTTTGGTCGTTGGAGCAAGGTTGGTTTCTCTAAACTTGGTTTTGTCGAAACGTCTTCTGTACAAACGACAAACTTGTGGGCAACTTAGATATCTTGCACCAATTTTGACTTGTGAGAGTTTGGCTTTTGTACTCTTTTCTTGATTTGTTGATGTAATTTACTTGATCCAGGTTCCTGGTGCTGCTGAGGCATCTATCAGAAATATTCCTCCTTCTGCCGTTGGGGATTCTGGGAATTTTGATGCCATGGGTCTTTTAGCCGCAAGTAAAGGCAAGCCCATGGAAGGTATTGTTGAGCAAGTCCGCGATGGCAGTACTATCCGGGTTTATCTTCTTCCTGAATTTCAGTTTGTGCAAGTATTTGTTGCTGGACTTCAGGTTTGTAATCTTGTTTCCTTTTTTTTTTTGCTGTGTGAGGAGTTGGCATTTTACTTTCATCGTGTAAAAGTGACGGGTATTTTCTTTGTAGGCGCCATCTATGGGAAGGAGATCTACACAAGAAACTGTTGTTGAGCCAGATGTTACATCCGCTCTGAATGGAGAGGCTTCTGCTGAGCCGCGTGGTCCTCTAACATCAGCCCAGAGACTCGCAGCCTCAGCCTCAGCAGCATCGTCCGTCGAGGTTTCCTCCGATCCGTTTGCAATGGAAGCCAAGTATTTTACTGAGCTTCGCGTTCTTAATAGAGATGTAAGAGGATTTGCAACACAGTAACTCACATGTATTGTATTTGAAATTTAGATAATCTAAGCGTGAGATGGATTGTGCAGGTTCGCATTGTTCTTGAAGGCGTTGACAAATTCAACAATCTGATTGGGTCGGTATACTATTCTGATGGGGATACAGTAAAAGACTTGGGATTGGAGCTGGTTGAAAATGTACGTGTCTAACTAAATTTAACAGTGATTTTGTTTTAAAAATGATTACATTCTGAATTAATTGGCTAATAAAATTCTGGCTTGGCCACAACGATGGCGATAATATGATAGTTTATGATATACGAAATCACTGGCAGATATGATCTTTTGATAGTGTTGAATAAAAGTTTTGAAACTGGTTGCTATTCGTTTTGCTCAGGGTCTTGCTAAGTATGTTGAGTGGAGTGCCAACATGATGGAGGAAGAAGCCAAAAAGAAGTTGAAAGCTGCAGAACTTCAGTGCAAGAAAAACAAGGTGAAAATGTGGGCAAACTATGTCCCTCCAGCTAGCAACTCTAAGGCAATTCATGACCAGAACTTTACCGGAAAGGTAATAATTGCTTGCACTGTTTTCTTGGTAAATATATTGCCTTCTACCAATTTCACAAGTTCGTAGTTCTTACTAGTTTGTAATCTCTTCAGGTCGTGGAAGTTGTGAGTGGGGACTGCTTAGTAGTTGCTGATGATTCTATTCCATTCGGGAGCCCAATGGCAGAGCGCCGAGTCTGTCTTTCGAGTATTAGGTCTCCTAAAATGGGTAACCCACGCAGAGAGGAGAAACCTGCTCCTTATGCTCGGGAAGCCAGGGAGTTTTTGAGACAAAGGCTTATTGGAAAACAGGTATTTATTGCTTTGTGCCTTCCTACTTAAATTATCACGTTGAGCCACAAAGGAGGAAGATCTCTGACTTCCTTTTTCCCGGGGTGCAGGTAGTCGTTCAAATGGAATACTCAAGGAAGATCAGCCCAGCAGATGGTGTTACTACTTCTGGAGCTAATGATTCTAGGGTCATGGATTTTGGTTCAGTCTTCATTCCATCTCCTACTAAGGGTGATACAGCTGAAGCAGCTGCAGCAACTGCTGGAGTGAATATTGCTGAACTCATTATTGCCCGTGGCTTTGGGACTGTGGTTAGACATCGCGACTTTGAAGAGAGGTCAAACCATTACGACGCTCTTCTGGCTGCTGAAGCTCGTGCAATTGCTGGGAAGAAGGGAATCCAATCTGCAAAGGATTCTCCAGCCATGCACATCACAGACCTGACCGTGGCCTCGGCTAAGAAGGCTAAAGATTTCCTGCCATCCCTGCACAGAAGTAGGAGAATATCTGCTGTTGTGGAATATGTCCTGAGCGGACATCGGTTCAAGCTATACATTCCAAAAGAAACATGCAGTATCGCCTTTGCATTCTCTGGGGTCAGATGTCCTGGCCGTGGCGAACCCTATTCAGAAGAAGCTATTGCTTTAATGAGACGTAAGATCATGCAGAGAGATGTCGAGGTAAACGGACTATTACGCCCATGATACAATTCATTCATCTTTTCTTTTCATTTTCTCTTTTCTATGAGTCTTACATAGTCTTTTATAATCACAGATCGAAGTTGAAACTGTGGATAGAACTGGCACTTTCCTGGGATCAATGTGGGAGTCGAGGACCAACGCAGCAACGTATCTTCTTGAAGCTGGCCTGGCAAAAATGCATGGCTTTGGTGCAGACAGGGTTCCAGAAGCTCATCTTCTTGAATTGGCTGAACGATCTGCTAAAAATCAGAAACTGAAGGTAACACCAGTAGATGTCTCTTTTTACTAAAGAAAAGCATCCCGTTCAAATAACCTGAACTTGCTAATCCATATGATTTCACAGATTTGGGAAAACTATGTTGAAGGAGAGGAAGTCGTAAATGGTGGCGCTACAGTAGAAACCAAGCAGAAGGAAACATTAAAGGTGAGTTTAGCCGTATGATTCTAACGACGAGTCAGAGTGTTAATACTAAAAGCAAAACCTAAAGTCAGTCTTAATTGCCTTCCGCTACAGGTTGTTGTTACAGAAGTGCTTGGAGGCGGTCGATTTTATGTTCAGACGGGTGGCGATCAGAAAGTAACATCGATTCAAAACCAGCTTGCATCTCTCAGTCTTAAAGACGCTCCCATTGTTGGATCGTTTAACCCTAAGAGAGGTGACATTGTCCTTGCACAGTTTAGCCTCGATAACTCCTGGAACCGTGCTATGGTAAATCATTAAATCTCTAAGCATCCCAAACTTTGATTCTTCTATTTTTTCACCATCACCAATAGGGTATTTATTGTATGCCTATTTTGTATTCAGATTGTTAATGCACCCCGAGAAGCAGTTCAATCTCCAGATGAAAAATTCGAAGTGTTCTACATCGATTACGGAAACCAAGAAACAGTTCCATACAGCGCAATTCGCCCTATCGAGCCTTCAGTATCCTCAGCACCAGGACTCGCGCAGCTGTGCAGACTTGCCTACATAAAAGTTCCAAGCCTGGAAGAGGACTTTGGTCCTGAAGCCGGAGAGTATTTACATACCGTAACTCTGGGCAGTGGTAAAGAGTTCAGGGCAGTGGTAGAGGAAAGAGATACTTCCGGAGGCAAAGTGAAAGGCCAGGGAACCGGAACCGAGCTCGCTGTAACTCTCATTGCTGTTGACGATGAGATCTCTGTCAACGCAGCGATGCTTGAGGTCAGTAGTGCCTCGCCTTGTCTTTTAATCCTCCAAACTTCTTTGTGGTCATATATTAACCTGAGAGTGAAATGTGTTTGTTATGAGCGCAGGAAGGAATAGCGAGATTGGAGAAACGCAAGAAATGGGAACATAAAGACAAGAAAGCCGCTCTTGATGCTCTTGAGGAGTTTCAAGAAAAAGCTCGCAAATCTAGGATCAGAATCTGGCAGTATGGAGACATCCAATCTGATGATGAGGACAGTGTTCCGGTCAGGAAACCTGGTCGCGGTTAAGTGTTTTTCGACCGGTGAAAACTCTGATTCCAAAGAGGGGTCATGGGGAGGAACAGAGAAGCATTTAGTTTCTCTTTAAAAATGAGTTAAGAAGAAGAGAGAGGTGTTGCTTTCAAAGCATCAAACTTTTTGTAACGTTTTAGAATTCTC